GCTCAAGCGGTAGCGCTCGCCTGTCATGCGTGCGGCCCGGGTTCGATCCTCAGCACCACATACAAAGGTGTTGTGTCCGCCGATAACTAAAAAATAAATATTAAAAAAAAAAAGTTCACGTGTGTAAAAATCAGAATGAGCTGGGTGCAGTGGCAATTTAGGAGGCTGAGACAGGAGGATTGCAAGTTCAAGGCCAACCTCAGCAACTTAGTGAGACCCTAGGCAACTTAGTGAGATCCTGTCTCAGAATAAAAAATTAAAAGGGACGGGGATGTGGCTCAGTGGTAAAGCATTCCTGGTTAAATCCCCAGTATCTACCACCTCCCAATTTTTTTAAAGTCAGGATGACTTTTTTTTTTTTTTAAGCTCTGAACTAGTGTCTCACTAAATTGCTGAGGCTGGCCTCAAGCTTCTGATCCTCCTGCCTCAGCCTCCTGAGTCACTGGGATTATAGTCCACTATGCTGGCCAGGATGACTTCATCTTAATAACAAAATAAGCACACGCACTATGCCAGAAACCTCACGGAATCCCCCACCAGCCCCATAAACTGGGGACTATTTCTGTCTTCCTTTCCCAGACAGGAAAACAGGCTCCAAATGTCACAAACTCAAGTTCACCCAGCTGTGAAGTGGTAGAGCCAAAATGTGAGCTGAGGCCACCTGGCTTCCAGGTTTTTGAGGGGCAGAAGTAAGTGCTCAGTGTCTGTGTGAGTGTGTGAGTGTGAGGCATGCAAACCCCTCTGTTTCCACATCTTAGTGTGAATAATAGTGCAAAGAACAGACTCTGGAGCCCGATACCCTGCATGCTTAGCCCAGCTCTGTCAGGCACTTGCTTTGTGACTGCAGGTCAGTGACCTCACCTCTCTGGGCTTCTGTTTCCTTGCTTCCCTCCCCTCCGATCCGTGTTATGAGAATTCAAGGGGTGAATAAAAGCACTTGGGAAGAATTGGCTCTTGTTATTGTTGAACCATATGTGTGGGTACTTCTGCTGGATGTATATTTTTTTTTTTTGGAAGGGGGGACTGAGGATTGACCTGGGGCCATTTAACCACTGAGCCCCATCCCCAGCCCTTTTTATTTTTCATTTTGACCTTGAACTTGAGATCCTTCTGCCTCAGCCTCCCAAGTCTGGTGTCGCCATGATCTCGGCTCTTGCAGGTGGTGCTTGTGGTGTGTGTGAACATATGTATCCCTGTGCATCTATAGTAAGGTTTAGCAGTCCCCGGGTGTTTTGGGGTCCATCCCTGTCCCTGTCATCTGTACATCTGAATTTGTCTCCTGTGTGTTTGGACACATGTCGTGTATTCATCGTCACGTGACAGTGTGTTCTACATGCGGGTGTGCCTGTGAAGCAGTGTCTGTGATCATGTGTGTGGCTGCTTGTGGGCAGATGTCCGAGTGCCCTTGTGGCCCCGTGGACTGTGAGTACACACAGCAATGGCTTTGTGGAAGTTACACGCTGCCTGTGCCCAGTGTGAAGGTCTTGGGCAGCTATAGTAAGGATTTGTGTCTCCTTTATTCCATGGAAGAGAAGATGAGGGGCTTGAGACAGGAGCCTAAGGGGTCACTCCCTGTCTGATGCCAGTGCCGAGTCATTGCCTGTTGGTGGCTGCTGTGTCATCTCCTAGTCCCAGTCTCCCCTTCCGGACTGGTAGCAGACAGAGGGGGCGTGGGGGAACCAGGTGAGACTTGGCTTTAGTCTGGAAATCCCAACCACCCTTATCACCACCCCATGTCCTTCTAGCCTTCTATAGTCCGGGTCTCCTCTCCCAGGAATCAAGACTCTCCAGGGAATTAGGAACCACTCCTTCCTCCTGTTTGGCATCAGAACTGTTGTGTGGCCAGGCACAGTGGTGCATGCCTGTAATCCTAGCAGCTGGGGAGGCTGAGGCAGGAGGATTGCATGTTCAAACCCCAGCCTCAGCAACAGCGAAGCGCTAAGCAACTCAATGAGACCCTGTCTCTAAATAAAATATAAGAGAACTAAAAAATGAATAAATAAATATTAAAATTCTCTCTCTCCCTCTCTGTCTCTCTCTCACTCTCTCTTAAAAAAAAAAAAAAAAAGGGCTGGGGATGTGGCTCAAGCGGTAGCGGGCTTGCCTGGCATGCATGCGGCCCGGGTTGGATCCTCAGCACCACATACCAACAAAAGATGTTGTGTCCGCTGAGAACTAAAAAATAAATAAATACATATTAAAATTCTCTCTCTCTCTCCCTCTCTGTCTCTCTCTCACTCTCTCTTTAAAAAATAAATAAATAAATAAAATATAAAATGGGGCTGGGGATGTGACTTAGTGGTTGAGTGCTCCTGAGTTCAATCCCAGGTACAAAAAAAAAAAAAAATGCTGTTGTGTGGCCTTGAGCCAGGCATTTCTCCTCTCTGAGACTTGAGAGTCAACATATTTAAGGTGCTTCTCCATCGGTGCCCAGGATCGGGCCAGGCAGTGCACTGAGAGTGCCAGGGTCTCTGGGGCAGCAGCTGCTGGTACCCTTCTTAATGGTGCCTCAGAGTTGGGGACTCTGGCATCGGAAATACTTTAGTTAGACTCTTGAACCCTATTTGTTAACCAAGTTGCCTCAGGTAAGTTGCCTCTGAGCCCAAGTTATGCGCTGTGAGTGGTTCTGGCTGATTGCAAAGTTTATAAATGCCCCATAGATGGAAGCTACAATGACACCAGTATCATTTACACCACCCCAGAGAGAGGGTTTTCAGGGTATTTCACCCAGCCAGGCAAGTGACAAAAATCCTCTCAGGCAGGGAGGAAACAGAGTTGGAGCGCTCAGCCTGTCCTCTGAGCTAGGTTTACACGTATAATCCCACTACTGAGGAGAGTATGGCAGGAAGATCTCTTGAGCACAGGAGTTCAAGGCCAGCCTGGGCAACAGAGCAGAGACCCTGTCTCAAAAACAAGAGTAGGTGGTTCAGAATTTGATAAATTCTAGGGTTAAATTTCTTGTAATGGAGCCAGGTGCGGTGGCATAGGCCTGTAATCTTAGTGACTCAGTAGGCTGAGGCAGGAAGATGGCAAGATCAAAGACAGCCTCAGCAACTTAACCAGGCCTTAAGCAATTTAGCCAGACCCCGTCTGGAAATAAAAAATAAAGAGGTAGGAGCATGTGGCTCAGTGATTAAGCACCCCTGGGTTCAATCCCTGGTACCTAAATAAATAAATTTCTTGCAATGAGATCTTAATCTCTCTAAGTATCATTTTCCTGTCTTATAAAATGAAGATTTTTTTTCTCCCTTAACTTCCAAAGTTGTTTTAAGGATTATACGTCTAGTATTGGAAGACTTAGTTGAGGATCTGGTTCTTGCTAAGCGCCAAATATATTATGATTGTTGTTATTATTATTATCATCATTATTTTACCACCCACTCATTTTGGCTGTCTCCCGATAAAGTCTATAAAGCAGGACGGAGAAGCCACCAACACCATTGGCCAGAGGCTTCACCCGGTTTCGTCCTTATTTACTCCAAACCTGCAGGCCTTCCAAAAGCGGGACCCCAGGAGGCCAGCCAGGTCCCAAACACACACCCTTCGCTCAGCAGGGAAAAGCGCAGCTGAAGGTCAAGAGAGGGGAAACATTTCCCAAGCTCAGCGAGTCAGGGCAGAAGCGGAGATTAGCCCCGGGACTTGAACCCCACCTCCACTTTCCCCTGGAGCATCACAGCGCTTCCAATCCCGCTTGGGTCTCAGTTTCCCCGCCTACGTGGCTACACCACACTAATTAGGGTCTCTTTTTGGAGATCCGCTCTTCCTATCGAGTGGGGGCGCTGCATCAGCGGCAGACGGGCGGGTGGGGGCGCCAGAAGTAAAGAAGACCCTTAAGTTGGGGGCCTCCCACACCAGGGTCAGCACCGGCCTTCCCGGGACAATTTAAGCGCCTATTAATACCAGCCCCCGGGGCGGCTTAGCACTGCGCAGGCGCGGGCGGGTTCCGCAGGCACACAGGGTGCGCGCCGAGAACGAGCGAGGGATTCCCTCTGACGTCATTGCTAGGATACCAAACAAACACTCCGCCGCGCCGGCCGAGCTCCTTATATGGCTAATTGCGTCACAGGAACTCCGGGGAGGCGGGGCCGGGATCTCCTCCCGCCGAGGGGTCCGGAACGCAGCCCCCGAGACCCCAGAGGTTCCAAAGGTCATACAGGTGAGCAGGTCCAAGCTAAGAAAGACCCCTTGATGGTCAGCGCGAGGCTCTGTTTAACCCGGACTGAAATTTTGGGAAGTTTGCGAAGCGCGGAGCTAGTGACGTAAGCAAGGGGGCGGGTCTCGGGCATATAAATACAGGCTGGCGGCTCTGGGCTTCATTCATAAGACTGAGAGCTACCGCCACGGCAGGGACACGCGGAGCCTGGACTTGGGGAGTTGATTATTGTGGTTCTTCTTCTTGAGGATCGTGAAACTAATTTTTTTCCGGAAAGAAAGTTTTTGGAAGAATTCTTCTAGATATTTCTTCGTTTATTTTGGAGGAGCGACTCTTTTCGTCTTCTTTATTTCTCCCCTCCCCCGTGAGACTCTCCGGACGCGTGGAAGAGACCGCACCTGAAGCGAGTTCTGTACAGCGGGCAGCGCTTTCGGCCTCTGGGGGAGCGATCCCCGCTTGCTCCTGGGTCCTACGGAACCTGGACTTTCAGGAGGTGTAGCAGCATCCTGTAGGGGTCTGTACACTTAAGAAGGACTGCACAGAAACTTTGCCACTGTTGGAGCAGGACGAAGGCCCTCCCGAGCTTCACCGAACAGCGTACTTTGGGGACGGCCTCGGCTCACCCCGGAATCGCACCTTACTTACCCACCCGGCCATAGCCTTGGCTTCCCGGCGACCTCAGCGTGGTCACAGGGCCCCCCCTGTGCCCAGGGAAATGTTTCAGGCTTTTCCCGGAGACTACGACTCCGGCTCCCGGTGCAGCTCTTCACCCTCAGCCGAATCTCAGTATCTGTCTTCAGTGGACTCCTTCGGCAGTCCACCCACCGCCGCCGCCTCCCAGGTAAGTCCTAGACCATAGAGGTACTGCTTTGTAGGTCTTATACTTTAAGTCTAGGGTGCCGCGAACACCCGCCACCCATCAAAGCCGCGCCAAAACCCAGGATCTGAATTGGCTTACGGTGCACTTTGCAAACTGCAAAGAATCGGGAGATGTTTGCAACTGGTCCTGTGCGCGGAGCGCGGGGAGGGAATGCAGCTGGGCAAGCTTTGAGGCGTGTGTTGGCGGGGGGGGGGTGTACTCCAGTCAGTGCAACGTGTATGCCGCAGCAGAGCTCAGAACTTTTAGCCGGCTCCGGACAGTCCCCGGCTTAGATCCCCAACCTGAAGCTAGCGTAGTTACGCTAGAGGAGAAAACCCGGGGAAGCTACCAGTAGCTTCCTCTTCTTTTCGCCTCCTTCGGAGCGCTGATTCTAACACCCGATCGCCCTCCATCTAGTCGGGAAAGCGGGTCTCGAACCCTCAGCTACGCTGCCTCCGCCTCCTGCGCGGATACGTAACGGGGGACCCGTGCGTAACGGCTGACGCGCTGGAATCCTCCGTCTGACGCGGGGCACGCACGGCGCGCAGCGCCCCCTTCGTCCGCCCCGCCCCTGACGTCCCGGGAGCGTTCTATTTTGGAACGCCGGGGCCACGTTGCTAAGGGAGGGGGCAGCTTGGCGTTCCGATTGGTCGCCGCAGCGCAAGCTTTGGCCAATCAACTTTCCCTTCCTATTTGTAGGGCTCAGTTCCCTTCCCCCTCTGTGTCCCCGGAACCCGTGGTTCCTCGGCGCTAGGGTCTCTTACAGAACTCTAGGGAGAGAGCGAGGGGACTCGTGTCGCGACTAGAGCGACTTCTCTGCGATCCAATGGGTCTGAGAGGACCTTGCGGGGATCTGGCCCCTCGGCTCTCAGAAGCAAGAGGTGTCTGTTTGTGTGCCGGCGTTTTTTCGGGAGATATGGTGCTTGTCACCTTCGTCTCCAGGCACACAGAGAAACTCTTTTATTCCTTCTGCTCTGGACACCCGGCTCATCTAGTGTGTCTGAAGACAAAACTAGAACCGCTAGCGGGAGGGGAACCAGGCAGGTGGTCTCCAGGAGCTCCGCCCCCCCTGAGTTCCCAGGGCGCTGATTGGCTGGCGAGCCAGCCCGTCCCTCACCACGCCCCCCGGGAGAGTAGTTCAGCCTAAAGAGCAATTCTAGGATTCCACTTGCGGGTGGGTGGGCGATGAGCGCTTCTAGGGCTTGGGGGCTCGGGTCCTACACCCTTCCCTCTCCGCGAAAGTCTGAGGGAGCCCGATTGTCACTTTTCTGTACCTGTCCGTCTACCTTAACCTGTCTATCACGGTCTCACTAAGGAGAGGCAGTTACTTGAAACGATGCTCTCAACTCCTAGGCCTGTCCCCCACCACCGTTTTAACTGGGATCCCCGCCCCTGCCCGAGACCTCTCACAGAGGGGTGTGTGTATGTGTGTGTGTGTAGAGGAAGGCTTGGTCTAAGGCCTCTCCCTCTCCCTCCCCTTGCCTCTGGGGTGGGGGTGGGGTGTTGTGGCTGTGTGTGTGGCTGTGGCTCCATCCCGGGGTTCTGTCACCCGGCTGTGTCCAGCCTCCTCCCCACCCCCCCACACCTAAGAGTCACCAACCCGGGGTGTGATTCACCACCCGCTGGAACCGTGCAACCTTTCCCCGAGGAAGAAGGAGGAGGTAGAAGCCAGTTGAGCAGAAATCCTCTCATTAACCACTGCGTCACGGTGTAGTGGAAGGGTGGGTGTTGTGGCTTTTTGCCTGTGACACACACATCCACACCCGCTCACCCTGTGCTCACTCACGGGGTCGGTGTGTGTTATGTGTGTTGGGTGTGTGTGTGTCGGTGTCTTTGTTTGTGTGTCTACGCCTGTGTGTGTATGTGTCACCCTGTAGGAGTGCGCCGGTCTGGGGGAAATGCCCGGTTCCTTCGTGCCCACGGTCACCGCGATCACAACCAGCCAGGACCTCCAGTGGCTCGTGCAACCCACCCTCATCTCTTCCATGGCCCAGTCCCAGGGACAGCCACTGGCTTCCCAGCCCCCGGCAGTAGACCCCTACGACATGCCAGGAACCAGCTACTCCACACCAGGCATAAGTGGCTACAGCAGTGGCGGAGCTAGTGGCAGTGGCGGGCCTTCAACCAGCGGAACTACAAGCGGACCTGGGCCTGTCCGTCCAGCCCGAGCCCGGCCTAGGAGACCCCGAGAGGAAACGGTGAGCATGGGGCATCAGGAGTTGGCCTGATGGGGGAGAAAGCAAGAGATGCAGGAACTTTATCACTGTTGGGGTGGTGGTCTGCTAAGGCCTCAAGGCTGCAGCAACCCTGTCATTCTTGCTTTAGTAGAGGGTCCTGTTTGGGTTCTTGGGGGTTCTGGAAGAAGAGGAGGTTTGGCATGGATTTAGAACATGTGCTGGGTCCCCAAACCTCATAGCCTTTATTTCCCCTACTCAGCTTACCCCAGAGGAAGAGGAGAAGCGAAGGGTTCGCCGGGAACGGAACAAGTTGGCAGCAGCTAAATGTAGGAACCGGAGGAGGGAGCTGACTGACCGGCTGCAGGCGGTAAGGATGGTACCTGGGTGCAGTGAGGGTGTGCTGAGGGCTCTCTCCCCATTCTATGTCCCCTGCCTCCAGCTGTGTCTCATCCTGGCATGAAAACACATGGGTCTAGGGACAGTGAGGCCAGATGGGGTGGCCCTGGCCACAGAGTTCCCTACCTACTTGTGTCCACTCTTGGCCACACCCTCGATTCTCTGATTTATGACCCCATGCACCTCTCTCCTGGCCTCCTTCCCACCTGGAGGGGAGCTCCAGTCATTTCTGTATTTGGTCATGGGCATGCAAAACATTTTTGCCTCAGTTTCTCTCTCTCTTCAACCCCTCAGCAAATGTTCCAGGCCCCTTTTACTTTGAACATTATGGAGAATCTGTGAAATTAATTATTTTACTGAATGTCAAATGCCCATCTCTTGCTCCAGCTACCCACAGTTCTCCAGAACTTGGGCTGATGGCATGCACCCAAACCCACTCCTTTCTATGCCCAATCTCAGCCTGAGAATTCCCTACTTTATGCTTACAGAGTGCTCTGCTACCCCTTGAGAAATCCAGGGAAATTCTCTACTTTCCTACTGGATCTCTTCCCTGGGAGTTGGGGAGGAAGGGGTAACAGCAGAGATGACATTAAAAACCCCATAACAATTGTTTATTCACTCAACAAACCTCTGAGTGCTTCCTGCACATCAGAGACTTCCCTGTGCACCTGGCCTCTTTCCCATCCATCCATTGGGCACATGGGGAAACTGAGACTTGCAAGAGGAAACGGAGACTATGCTGAAGGTCACTAGGACGCCAGTCTCAGGGGGTTTCCTTTCTGTCGGGAGCTGCAGCTTCAGGCTCAGCAGCAAGTCTAGGGGGAGCCTGGAGCCACCTTCTCTAGTCACTGACATACCTTTGCTCTTTCCTCCCTCTCTCCTCGGACCTGGCCTGGGGCCTCAGGAGACAGATCAGCTGGAGGAAGAAAAGGCAGAACTGGAGTCGGAGATCGCCGAGCTCCAAAAGGAGAAGGAACGTCTGGAGTTTGTGCTGGTGGCCCACAAACCGGGCTGCAAGATCCCCTACGAAGAGGGGCCCGGGCCTGGCCCGCTGGCGGAGGTGAGAGATTTGCCGGGGTCAGCATCCGCTAAGGAAGATGGTTACAGCTGGCTGCTGCCGCCCCCGCCACCACCGCCCCTGCCCTTCCAGACCAGCCAAGACGCACCCCCCAACCTGACGGCTTCTCTCTTTACACACAGTGAAGTTCAAGTCCTCGGCGACCCTTTCCCCGTTGTTAACCCTTCGTACACTTCCTCGTTTGTCCTCACCTGCCCGGAGGTCTCCGCGTTCGCCAGCGCCCAACGCACCAGCGGCAGTGACCAGCCTTCCGACCCCCTGAACTCGCCCTCCCTTCTTGCTCTGTGAACTCTTTAGACAAACAAAACAAACAGTCCCACAAGGGAGAGAGATTTGGACGAGGAGGAGAGAGGGGAAGAGACAAAGAGGGCGTGTGGCCTCCCTGACTCTTCTGTCTGACCCTCTGCCGCCACTGCCGTCGGACAGGAGGACCTCCTTGGGTTTTGTGCGGGCCTCTTGTTTCTGTGCCCCGGCGAGGCCGGCGGGAGAGCTGGTGACTTTGGGGACAGGGGATGGGGAGGGAATGGATACCCCCAGATACCTGTTGGTCCTGTCACTTCAATCCAACCTCTGGGGATGGGTGGCGTGGGACAAGAGAAGGGCGCTGCGGGAGTGCGGAGGGCTGCGGGCGGGGCTGGAGCGCGCAGGGAGGCCCAACAAGGAATCGCCACACTCCCCCTGGCCCTTCCACGCCCACCCTTGAGGGGGCTGGCCAGTCTGCTCCCCCAGCACCCCGGCCTTGGCTTAACCACCCCACGTTTCCACGAGGTTAGAGCCTCCTCTGGGCAGATTTGAGTCCCCCTAGGGGGAAGCCAATGGCCCCTCTGAAAACCTGCTTCCCCCCAGACCTAATCTGAAATGTGAACTTCTTCCTTGACCGTCCGACCGCTCCCTCCCGGTAAAACTGGCCAGGATGGAACTTTCCGGCCTCCTGGGACCCGGACCCGGCCCCGGCCCTGCTGGTGGCCAGCCCCCTTTGCATTGCAGTGTTGTGCCCAGCCCCTCCTCCAGCCGCCCGGCCGTCCTTGTTGGGCCTTTCTGGTTTCCGGCAGCAGGGGGCGCTGCGCCGCCGTCCTGCTGGACTGCTGTATACTGTGAATGAGCCGGCGATGGGGGGCAGGCCGGGCGGGCAGAAGCCCGGCCCCCCAAAGCCTTCCTTGGGTCTCCCCTGCCCCACCGCCTCCTTCTCCCTGGGACAATGAGTTAGATCCAAAGGGGTGACAGATTCGACGGGGGCTGACAGTGATCCGTGCCCTTGGCCTCTCTCCTCAGGACCCTGGGCCGAGCCCTGGCCTTCTTGGAGGCCCTGCCTCCTTCCCCAGCCTAGGACGCCAACTTCTCCCTGCCCTCGGCGCCCCACGTCCTCCCTCTCCAGAAGGGGAGCGAGGGGCTCGGCATTCTCGGGAGAAGTTTTAAGGGCTGAGGCTTTGGCCCCAGACCCCCAATGTTTTGGGACTGGCCAACTTGGAGGGGCCGGGCTGCCACCCTCCCTTCCCCCGGCCCCTGCAGCCCATCTGGGTCCGGCTCTCCCTCCCGCCTGTCCTTGTGCTTCACGTCATGGGAATTTCATCGTGAGGCAAATTTCTATTTTTTAATATGGGGGGTGGCCCCGCCCCCTCCGTGCTGCATGGACCACACATTCCATGGCCGACCCATGTCCGGCCCTGGCCCAGACCCTCCCGAGCTATTTATCCCTTTCCTGGTTTCCGAAAGGCACTTATATCTATTATGTATAAATAAATATATTATATATGGGTGTGTGTGTGTGCGCGCGTGCGAGTGTGTGAGCGCTTCTGCATTTACCAGCGTGCCGTGGAGTTGGACTGCTTCTGGAAACTTTGAACCCGTCTGTCTGGCTGTCTATCAGACGTCTCCCTTCTTGTCCAGGCCCCTCTGGCTGTGCTGTCAGTCCCTGAGGGCCTTCCACAGTGTCTTCTCTCTCTGGCCATGTCCACCTGTCCTCTTCCTGACTGTCCCTGATCCTCCAGCTGTCTGCTGACTCTGGGTTTGTTGGGGACATGAGATTTCATTTTTGTGAGTAAGCTGAGGGATGTTAGATTTGTACGATCTGTATCATTGAGAATTCTGGGTGCGAGTGTGAGACTTTGTGCGGGGCCTGCCCCTGCCAATCACAATTTATTGACTCCCCAACCCCCACTCCATGCTGTATTTGTGGATCTTTTGTATTTTGCACCTGACCCGGGGGGCTGGGGCAGGCTGGCACTGGACTGCTCCCCTCCCCCTTTGGTTCTGCACTGTCGCCAATAAAAATCTCTTAAAAATGCATGCACCAGGCCTCTGTGTCTATTTTCTCTTGGCATCCATTACCTGGCTTCCTTTCAGCAGGAGAAAGTAAGGTTAGATTGCTAGGAAGACCACACACACACACCCAGGAGCTCCTACAGCAGGATGGAAGGACGCTGGACAGTGAGGAAGACTTCCCATGCACACAAACTGTGCCTCCTATTAGGAAAAGTAAGGAGGCAGAATATTAGCTGTGAGGAACTGATGTGCTGATGGGTTTCAGAGGTGTCCTGGTGGGGGAGGAATTTACAGGAAACTGTAAACTTGGATGCCTGATGGTTTAAGCAAAAGTTGAGCAGGTAAAACCTTCCATAGGAGAGGTTTTAGAAATCCCAACCTCCCACAAACGAAGACCATTCAGGCTGGGAACAGAGATCCCAGGATTATATGAACTTGATCTTGGATCTCTTGCATTTGAGATGAGTTTCCTTTGTTTTTGTGTGACCATTGCTTTTGGGTTAGAACTGGATCCAGAGCTAAATAAAAATAAATAAATAAATAAATAAATAAATAAAAATAAAAAATTGCCATTTTCTCTTTTCAAAGATACAGTGGAGATTCCCCACTGCAAAATCCTAGCCCTCTTTTACTGCATGGCAACAAGCAATCTGGGAATGGAGGGTCTGGCAGGTCACTTGAATTTTTTGTTGTTGTTTCTTTTGAACCCAGGGGTGCTTAACTACCCAGCCACATCTCCAGCCCTTTTTAGTTTTTATTTTGAGACACTAAGTTGTGGAAATTCTCCCTAAGTTACTGAGGCTAGCTTTGAACTTGCAATCCTCTTGTGCCCCTGCATCAGGCTTAAATTTCTTAGTAAATGAATAAACAAGAGAATATTTATTTATTTGTAATTACTGAGGCTTGAACCCAGGGGTGCTGTATCCCTGAGCTATACCCCTACATCCCAGTCCTTTTTATTTTTTGAGATACAGTTTTGCTAAATTGCCCAGGTTAACCTGGAACTTGCAATTCTCCTGCCTCAGCCTCCTATGTAGCTGGGATTACAGGTGTGCACCCCTGCACCAGACTGGAATTAATTTTAATTAATCTAAAAAATGTAAAAAAATGTGATAAGAACCTTCACTAGGGATACTGTAAAGACCAAGCCCCAGGCCCTGCCTGCCTAAGACTCACGGTCCAGTGGGGGATACAGACTAGTCCCCAGACAGGGACAACACAAGTAAACAGGGCTGAGGGGATCTATGGGGCTAAGGGAGCTCAGCAAGACTTCTTGGAGGAGTGGACAGCAGAGTTCTAGAGGACAAATGGAGAGTACAGAAAGTGATGAGAAAAGACTGAGGCCAACAAAATAGCAGGTGCAGAGATCTGCTTGTGGTGTTGGGGGGAGGCTTCATACATACTTCACATTTCCATCGAGGGAGCTGGGTGTTCATGGTGACTACAGCCAAGGGTGTGGAGCAAGAGGTCAGCAGGTGCCAGTTTCTTCATGCAATTAAATTTTAGCCTGTGAAATTTAGATCTTGAGGACATTAGAGAGCCATGGCAGGTTTTGAGATTTAGGTTGGGGCAGATTTGTGCTCTAGGTTGATTTCTCTAGTCACCAGGTTAAGAGTGGCCGGGGTGGTGCACACTTGTAAATCCAGTGGCTCAGAAGGCTGAAGCAGGAGGGTCACAAATTAAAAACCAGCCTCAGCAATTTAGTAAAGTCCTAAGCAACTTATTGAGACCCTGTCTCTAAATAAAATAGAAAAAAAAGGGGGAGGTGGGGATGTGGTGAGTGGTTAAGCACTCCTGGTTTCAACATCTGGTACAAAAAAAAAAAAGAGTGGCTGGAAGAGAGGAGGAAGCCTGGAGAGGAGGCAGACAGGGCTGTGAGGAAGGGCTTGGAAGAGACCCAGGGCAATGGCATAGAGAGAAGAGGAAGCATTCAAGAGACATTTAGAAGGCAGAACAGGCAGGATTTGTGGAGTGGATAGCTTTCCAAGGACAACCACCGGGCAGGAGTAAATAGCCCAGGGGTCTACCAAAGCTGGATGTGATGACCTGACCTTGGAAATTATGCTTCTTCAACTGCCTGAGACTTAATGTGCTCATCTGCAGAATGGGGCTGTCTTGCTCAGTCAGGGGGCTTGTGCATGCCACGTGATAATATAGGTACAGTTGTTACCATTCCCCCAAGGCCGTTATTGGGTCCACCCTGATCCCTGACCTAGACCACTTCCCATTCTATAGCTCACCCCTCCCTTATCTATTGGAATGTTCCCCTGCCTCCTCACCAGGTGAGGTCTCCCTGTTAGGTGCCCTCTTTCTCTACCTTTGCCGGTAGCTATCACCTTTGCAGTTGTTCATTACTTGTACAATACGTGGCTGTTTCGTGTTTGTCTGCCCCCACTGGACCGGCTGCACCAAGAAGTCAGGGCTAGGGTTGTCATCACCCTCGTGTCCCCAGCACCATCCGGATACAAGGCTGGAACCAAGCAGCTACTCAAGGAAAGCTTTTTGAATGATTGAGTGAAAGAATGAACAAATGAATAAACATTTGACTAATAAGTGCGTGAATGATTCAATAAATAAGCGAGCAAACGACTAAATGAATGAGCCAGTGAAGGAGAACAATCCAAAGTAAATCCCCAATTGCAAATATCCTAGGACTATATAGATGAAATGTTATTCATCTTCTAGAATCATGTTTTATGTTCCCGGGGAAAAGTAAACAGAGAGACGCGGGTGGAAAGAGAATAAATTGCGAAGTAGAAAACTGCAGCGACATCTAGGTGCTGGCAGAAGGAGAGTCCTTTAGGATAAAACACTCGCTGGAGATTAACTTGGAGGAATTGAAAAAAAGTGCAAGATCACACGCCCGAAAGGTGGAATTGAACCACTCTGTCGCTAGACAGCTACAGGTTTGAAGCCTGCACCCCAGACCACTGAGGATCATCCGGGCAGGAAACTCTACTCCCTCGAAGCTATATAAAGTACTAAAAAGTCTTCATTTTAGCATCATGGTTATTAAACTCCGCCGTGGAGTGGATAATAAATTACAAGACCCATCAATTATGTGGATCCGCTTATCACAGTGGGGGTCTTTTTAAAAGTTTTTTTTCTAAGTTATGGCATCAATAGTACTCATAATGGAAACTGCCTAATTTACATGGCGCCTTGCATCCTGGGAATCAGCTCCCCCGGACCTGGCTAGTTATTAAAGGGACAGGAGTTCCTTTTTCCAAAGTGAAAAGTCAGTGTTATAAAGAGAACAAACTCAAAATTCGGAGCCCAGAAGCTCTATTCCCGGAAAATTCCCAATTCTTCTGCAGAAAAGTGAGTGAGTTCCTGACATAGCATGATTTAGCCCAAATCCAGAGACGCCATGCAGGCAGCTATGGGGCTAGTGCGACGCCTGCTGTTCCATTGTGTAACTGCGGGGGGATTTCAGAGCTCTTCGTGAACTTTATTGAGCCTCTACTGACTCCCAGGCACTGTGCTAAGTTCTGGGAATGATAGACATCTTGTCCCACTGCATTGAGACATTAGAGATCATCAATTTCTACACCTGCGTGTTATGGTAAGGGAAACTGAGGCAGCCCATGCACCTGGGAGAACTGAACCCATGCCATTATAATTATTAGTACAGAAAAGGCGATTCTTTTAGAAAACAAATCAGTGATTCCTTGACGGCAATATTATTCGCTCGCATGAAATTCTCCCATGACTTCCAGCTCAGAGTAAAAGTCAAAGTTCTCTCCCTGGTTTACAAATCCCTACGATGTAACCCCTTTCTGCCCTCTAACCCCGTCTCCTATTCCCCCCCTACACTTGGCTCCAGGCATGCAGCTGTCCTGCTGCTCACACCAGTCGCGTTTCCTCCTTTTGTTTGCGGGTCCCCCAGCCTCGGTTTCTTTTTCTCCATGTACTTGCGGCCTCCTTCCACTCTGGCTTCTGCTCAAATATTAACACCAACTGCCCAGTTTAAAATAGCAAGCCCTGTCACTCTCTCCCCTTCCCCTCCATCACCTCCATCACCTCCATCACCACTTGCTCCATGTCTATATGCCTGTTGTCTGTTCCCGGGACACTATCAGCTCCATGGAACTAGGGACTTTTTGTTCATTGCTGTAACCCTAGTCCCTAGGGGTGCTTCACTAGGTAGGAGATGTTCAGGAAACGTTGAAAGGATGAATGAAAGAACGTTCTTACTATTTTTCTCTGAGCCTCAGTCTCCCCATCTCTGTAGAGCTCTAATACACTGATCTCACAGGATGAATCATTCTGAATCCATGAGTATACACGTCTGGTATTGAGTCAGGCAACTGGGAGGCTCTCAAGAAAATTTATTTCCATCCTCAACTTTTTTTTTTTTTTTTTTTTTTTTTTAGTGGAGTGCCAAGGATGGGCTTGGGGCTTTAGCTATTCCTGGACCCAAAATTCAACCAGCCCCTCTTAATACTGGAAACTAAACCCAGAGGCTCTTCACCACTGAGATACAGTGACATGGCTACATCAACGTTTATAGCAGCTCACTTCAAAATAGCTAAACTATGCAACCAACTTTGATGCCCTTCAACAGACGAATTCCAAGTCCTTTTCATTTTTAATTTGAGACAGGGCTTCACTAACTTGTTGAGGAGCTCTTTAAATTGCTAAACTGGCCTTGAACTTGTGATCCTAGTGTTTCAGTCTCAGGGATCCCTGGGATTACAGGTGTGTCCTCTCTGCCACGCATGGGGCTTCCTCTGCTCTCTGATAGAAGAAAAAATACTTTGCCTTAGAAAACTAAGAATAATAGCATCTCAGAAATGTTGCTATTCTTTTTAACTTGGAAATTTAAAATATTGTGCCTGCTTGGAAAATACAGATTCAAGAAAAGCCCCCTGAGCCCCCTTTGTCTTAATTATTTTTTAGTTGTTGAGGGACCTTTATTTAATTTACTTATTCATAGGTGGTGCTGAGAATCCATCCCAGTGCCTCACACATGCTATGCAAGCAAGTGCTCTACCGCTGAGCTACAACTCCAGCCCTGCCCTTTGT